TCCACAGGCAATTTGCAATTTTTTAAAAAAGTTGCGGATTGTAAATCTTGAGAACTGTAAATCCTTTTGCAAGTATTACCCTGTTTTTCTTTTAAAAATTTGATATCTTTGTCAGAGGGAGAAAGCGTAGATAATGCAGAACTGCAGATAATGCTAGTCATAACCAACCCTTATACTTGCGCCATATTTGCCACTTTATTATTAACTTTAAAAAAAAATGTAATTATCCTTTTGATAGAGAATTTTATGAAGAACAATTTTCTATATAAGTATTTTTGTCGAGAATTGCACCGTTGCCGAGATTATCTCAAAAAACTCAAAATGGGGGGTAGAAACGATGTCCTGGGAGATGACGCACACTATTTAGGGGTGGGAACTTTTCAGTTTATCAATACGTATGATATCCTGATTATTTCTACCAATTTTGAAAACTTTATGAATTTTGTCGGATATATCGCAATTTGAGCCATAATATTACTGAACTATTTGTACCATCTTTAGTTTCATAAAAAAGTAGTACAGAGATGTAAAATCCGCATCTTTGTATTCCTACTCATAAACAAAATGTAGCACACCGAGATGTAAACCCTGTAAAACACACGGAAATGGGACACCCTGTACACAAATTTAAGCTGAAATATTTTGGATACTGTAAACTCTTTGGCTTGAGCAAAGAGCCAATATTCGATCACTTCAATCTACATGGCTGTCAAAATACCTATTTCAACTATAAATTCCACTGTAGATAATTTATAAGAAAATCTCTCAGTCATTAAACTAGCGTCTCTAAATTGTTTCCTACCCACTCTCACCGAAAACTGTCTTCTCCAAAGCGAGTAATATTTCAATCGTCGACGACCATTTTCCGCGCAAAAGACCACGACTAATCCCAACGCTAGATTCGTCAAGTGCCAATTACACCGCAACTAAACTCCTCAAAACATTAATTATTGCGAATCGTATTGACAGATTCCGTCCCTATTTACGAAATAATTAATATCTGAGCGAACCTGGATAGGCTGGATAGAGGAGAATAACGGAAAGCATGGGTAATGTATAACGTAAAGTATGGGTATCTGAACGAATTGAAAGATTTCATTCAGTAAGGTGATGTTTTTACATAGCTTAAAAAATATTTTTGAGATTCTTAAATTTTTCAGAATTGCTTCTTTCATTTTTGGCAGATTTCGTCCTGCTATTGACGCCAATAACAAATATCTTAAGAGTCATTTCACTAGTCCGAAAAAGCAGCAAAATAAGCATTCGGCATTTTTTAAAGTTTTATATAAAACTGGCTAGGTAGGTTCGAGGCCTACGTGAATTTTATGGCCGCAATATTGGAAAATGTGACGTCACAAGGTGAGGGTCATATTCGATTCGGATCCCGCCAGATAAGTATTATTTTAGTAACAAATAAAGTACAACTGGAGCTTTCTATAAAAATAATTTATTGAAAAAATAAATTAGAAATACACAAAAATTTTATGCAAATGGTTAACGGTTAGAAAAACATTTTTATTACATTAGTACTATAAATTTATACCTAATCTAATGACGGTTTTTTTTATTATTTTGAAAGTGTAATTTTCTGTTTTTTCTAGAAGAAACTTCTGTCATGTTTGATACAGATGCTTGATCAGAACGATTTTTAGTATAGTTGTTCAGAAAAATATTACTCAAGACATGAGCAATTTTTATAATAATGCTTTTAAAAGGCTTGTTACATGCATTACAGATCTCTGGATAATTTTCCATGAAATCTTCCGCCTTGAGTAAAGCCAACTTTTTAAGAGTTTTTTGCTGGGAAAATGAAGTTAAAAATTCATGCTCATAGTCTGATGATATGAGCATACAAACTTTGATACAAAATATTTTAAATATGTCAATAACAAACTGAAATACTATTTCTGATGGTGTTTTCAATGCACCTCGGGTAATATTGAGTAAGTATTCACTAACATTTCATACTTTGTCTTTTTTTCAAAATGGACAGTAAATTCTTCGTTTGAAGTTATAACAGTTTTGCATATTTCACATCCACTAGTGTATTTTATTACTGAAATAGAGCACTATCCTGCTATAAATAATAATGAAGCATATTGTTCACTATTTATTTCTACATTCTCTGAAGTAGCAATTACATCAAAATAATAAATAATAGGAAGGGTACATGATTGGATATTTGGCAGAATTTTTATTTAAACAGGCAGAGAAACAATAATGTACCCTTCCTACTTTGGAATAATTTTTTAATGCTCTATCCAGGGATTATTTCCCTATTGAACCCTCGATTGAACCTATATAAGCAATTTGTAAAAGAATTTTGAAAAAATCTCTCATATTTATGAGAGAAAGTGGTTTGTATTGTATGAAAAACAGGTATGAAACAACAAACAACTACATACCACAATTTGTAGAGGTTAAGTTTGAAACCTCATCTGATGTAAAAACCACAGATATTCTAAAAAATGTCGCAGTTTTTGCTAGCTACACTCAAGGCACAGTACTATTTTCACACCACAAATAATTTGAACGCTGATTTCAAATAGAAAATATATTTTTTTCGATCAAAAATAGGACAGAAACCCGGCACAAACAGGGTATTTACCTACTAATTTATGTAAACACAACAGCTGATCGCCGAGTAATGACCCTCAGATTGTGACGTCACAGGCGCGGTGCGACGGGTATCTTGCGGCCATATAATTCACGTAGGCCTCGGTAGGTTACACAACTGAAGAAGGAAATTAAAGATAAAGGATTATACTACATCCGTATTGTCGCACATTTTTAGACAACTTCTTTATTTTTAAGATTTTGATGGTCAAACACCAACAAAATATTCCTTATATTTGGAATAAATTTTCTCGAAAATGAAAACATAATTTAAAATTCCGTTAAAATACGGAAATAGATTGCAGTTTTGTGATTACAGTGATATATATTTTATAATATGGTTTTGTAACAAATTGCTCGCTATTTTATGGCAAATGCTGAAGCTCTGCAAACCTTAATCAAGCTTTAATCAAAGCACGTGTGTTTGGAATTTTGGGTGTGGCACGACAGGATCGGCCTAAGCCTTAGGCAGATTTCTGAAATATAACATATATTTCCTTCGGCCACACACCCGCTTTACCCGATCCCCGAAACGCCCCGAACAGTACCGAGTGTAAATGCGACAAAATTTTATATAGGTTTTACCGGTTTTTATAAAGTGATATTTTTCTGTTCTATAATAGGAAGGGTGAGTTAGTGAACTATACTTTGAATCCAAGTTTCAAATTATTTACTTATAAGGGAATATTAAAGTAGAAGTCTGTGCAACACATTTATTGTCACTCGGTATCTACACGCCAAATTATCTGATTGTCCATCATGACAAACCTTATTGGGAAAAGCGAAAATTAAAAGAAACCACTTTTCTAATAAACAATCCATTTTTCTAATAAGCAATATCCATTGCAATGCAAGTATAAATTTACCCCCAATTTGGCAACCGCTTATAAAACGTACTGGCATCCTGGATGAATAACCTCAGACTTTCTTTAGTATTTAAGTTCTAGTCCTAGGATTTAGATTAGTTCACACTTGATAACAGTTGTATATACAGGGTTGTTCACCGCATACGACACGGAGTATTGTAGCTAAACGATTAGATTTTTGCAAATTGTAAGTTTTGAGTTCGTTGAAGGACCATTAGAGCTACAATTCAAAAATATTTTTAAAAGATACAGAGTGTCCCAAATAAATAAAAAATATCAAAGTTGTATTTTTTAAATGGAACACCCTGTATATTATTACATTTTTAGTTTCTACGATTAAAATAAAGGTAAATTTGATTAAGGTTTATCGCATTTTAATCTTACTGTTTTTTAAATATTTAAGTTTTTGTCAAAATACAGTAATAATTTTAATGCTTCATTTCTCTAGACGTATATAAGTTTTTAAAACCAAATATTGTACTGAAGTATTTCAATATACTAAATTTTGTGTTGCATTAATAAAAATTATACTACCTTATACAGAGTGTCTAAATTTTTTTTTAAATTATTACTAGCTTTAAACGGCCATAATTTGTTTAACTTAAATGGAACACCCTGTATATTTTATGAGAATCAGATGCACAATTTAATTGTCTATCAAACTGTATTACACCATTTTTTACCTATCTCTTCAAGTTTCCGTAGAAAATGTATTTTCTTATAATTTAGATCTCATTTATCAATTGGACCATGGAATATTGACATTTTAGATTATTTTTAAAAATGTAACAAATTTTTAAAGAGTACAGATAATAATATTCTCGATATAGTTCATTTATTTCGTTAAAAAATTAAAAAAAAAATGTCTAAATATTTGTTAAAGAGGACCAATTAATATGATTCCAGTATTCAAACTACATTAATTGACTCTTTGCGTTGATTAATAATAATTGCTTGAAATACTAAAAAACTGAATTTTATATGTGTATTAGACAGTGTGATAAAAAGTAACACCTTAAAAGCTTTATTTCACTTTTTGACGAATGCTTATTTAAAACAGCTCATTTTCATAATTTATTATTATATTGATTTCTGATTCAAATCCACACTTACTTAGAATAATTTATTAACTAACACAATTAAGTATAGTAGTATTAGTAATTAATTAATATTTGGGCGGAAATATATAATGGTGGTATATTTAATTAATGGTATACTCTTTTATAGAGATTTAAATAGTTTTGTTTTTGTATACAAATAGGCTAGTAATATTATCGTTTTTGGTTTGGTTTGGTTGCAGCTCTAAGGGTCCTTCAACGAACTCAAAACTTACAATTTGCAAAAATCTAATCGTTTAGCTACAATACTCCGTGTCGTATGTGGTGTACCACCCTGTATATACATCTGACCGAGGCGTAAAGGTTCAGAGACTATGTCAGTTCAAGAAATTTCTCTCAGATAGTTACTTTTTTTGTAATAATAAAGTTTGTAGTTCTGTAAAATAAATTACCTTTTCAGGTTAATTGTGAGACCAATCCACGTGTTTTACTGCCAGGACCAGAAAAGTTTCTCTATGTAAAAATTGGAGGTGTTATTTTGGAGCATTCAAGTAGATGGAGCAACAACAATACGCTAAGGTAAGACTTATGAGAAAAGTTTATTTATAAATCTTTTGAAGCTGCATATTTGGACTATGCTTGTTTAAAAGGAACCAAGTGCCAAATTGAACCATAGCCAATGAACCATATGACATGTCAGAAAACTGCAAATTTCAAATTTCTATAATGGGAACCGGAGGAATATTTCCGTTTACATCATTCAAATCGTCACTTGGATCCTTTTACATTTTATCAATTTTATAGATGTGTTGTTAATATGGTGTGTTCAATCATAGTTGTTTGATGGTTTTTCGTTTCTTAAGATCCAAGCGAATATTACAAGCATAGTACTGGAGCAAACCAATAATTTTAAAATGCAAAAGATTAAATAAAGAGAACCATTTTCTGAATATACATTCTTTTAAATAGAACCAGATGCTTTTTAGCGTTTGGTTCCATCCAAAAACCTACAACTTATTATTGGTTATTTATTCAAACGGTACTACCAATAGCCAATAATAGTGGATTGGGGTAAAAGATGACCTGTCTGTCAACACCCAATCCAAAAATTTGAAGATCGGTCCACACATATTTTACTAAAGCATTATCATCTTAATCTCCGATATCTCAAAACTTCAAATTGGCGCTTGGTATTGTTTAAATAAAAATTGTTATTATCTTACCGACAATATAATAAGATTAATACCAAAGCCGAATAATAGAGAGACCAAATAAAAAAGGGTGATGCATCGCTCCGAAACAAGCTCCATTTAAATGGAATCTTCAATGAGATCTTCAATCTTTTTCAAAATTTGTGGATTGTAGAATTAAACATTTTTAAAATATTTTTGTGATATAAAATATATGATAAGTCGAGCTTAGTTTAAAGCTAAACCTACTATCATCATCATCATCATCATCATTAGCCGTTTGTCGTCCAACTTTGGACATAGGCCTCTCCCAATTCTCGCCACCGATCTCTGTTCTGTGCTGTGCGTGTCCAATGTAGTCCTGCCACTCTTTTGAAATCATCGTACCATCTCATTTGAGGGCGTCCTCTCATTCGCTGTCCTAAGTATGTACAGGGTAAGTTTTAAATAAGTGCAAATATTTTTAGGGGCAGTAGGTATATTCGACACCAGAAACACGATTATGAGTTTCTTTCGCAAAAATATTTTGAAAATTTAGAATTAAAAAATAGATTTTTTTAGCGTTTAATTTAAATCTTAAATATTTCTTTTTTATTTAGATCTATATCAAGCACTGGCCAATCGTGTAAAACTGCCAACCGAATAGTTATTCATACAGCTTTATATACAGCTCTCATATGTCCAGAACCAACAATTTCAAGGGATAAAATGGTGGAGGTATTCTCGGAAGGTTGGCATATAAAAGGTAAATAAATCTCTATTTTTAATTTCCAAATAGCCAAAATTGATAAAATAAATTCGAATGGAATAGTAGGAATTCGATGGATATTGTATCAGAATTACATACAGGGTGCGTCTGAAAAGTGGTTTATCCCTATAATATTTTTATTTTTTTAGATAAAAAAACGAGATTTGGTATGTTAGCATATGACATAAATTAGGATTAATTGACCTATTCAATTGTTTTTGGTCAGTCCCTGTCTTACCGGAAATGACTAGAACTTTTGATTTTTGAAGGAAACCCTCGGTATTTTTTTACTTTATTCGATAGAAAATGACACCACAGATGACACTCTGAATAAAATTACATATCATATGTCAACTTTGATGAAACTTTTTTAACTTTTATGTCCCGCCACAGGCACCGTCACGTCGACCCTAACCTAACCACCACGGTATAGGCAAAGAGTAGATAAGACAAGAGACGACAGTGAACAAAGAAGTCGAATTTCGCGAGAGAAAATAAATTAATAATATAAGAAAGATATAAGTAACGTATGTTAATACGGAAATGTAAATTTTTATTTTGGGTTGGTTTAGATTCTTTTTTCGCAATGTACTGATAATATCAAAGAAACAGAATGACTAAGTTGATCGATTTCAAACAGATAAAATCTCAAAATCTGACAACGGCGTATTTTATCTAATCTAACCTATGATTTTTGACTTGTGTCTAGCCCTAGCAGGCAACTGTTAAGCCCGACCAATCACGTTAGAGTTTTTGACAAACACAAATGAATTAACACACTCCAAATAACCACGCTAACCAACCTGATTGGTCAAGCTTAATAGTTGACTGCTAGGACTAGACACTTCTGATTTTTGGACGCCAATCAGCTGTGCTAATCAGGCTTAAACATAAACAAATCTGATTAGTTGTTTTCTTGCATTTTTGCCTTTTTAAAGTGTGTTTTCAGAGTTTTTCGATATATTATCGTTTTGTGAGTTTTTAAGATTTAATTTTAGTATTGTTTTTATTGCGTTCTAATTTGTAATTATTGTTAAATATGAATACTGAACAGGACACGAGTAGCAGGAAAAGACGAGATGGTGGCATTGTGTGTGCTTATAAAGACTGCAAAAATAGGTCTTGTTCTTCGACAAACATAATATTTCACTCTTTTCCAAAGGATCCTGAAAAGTATTTTTATAGAAATATACTATATAATTATGTTATTAAACTAAATGTAATCCATAGATCGAAGACATGGTTAGAAGCTTGTAATTGCGAGGATTTATTAAATAAAAATTGAGCAACTCTATTTTTTTGTACATAAACTCCACATTGTGATATTACACTTGTTCAAGTCCATATGTAAAAAAAATACACGTAAATAAAACATTTCTTACAAATCGACTTGGTCACTTTATCTTGTTTACCAACGACATACAAAATATTGCTTTTATTATCTTTATTCCCCGACAAATATGTTTCTAATTATAATTTATTTTATATAATATTTAAAATTTAAAAAAATTACGAAAATTTAAAGGGATAAGCGAGACGAGGTCACTCTCCCCACCACTCAAACATGAAAGGTACCGCGCGAACTGTCGTCTCTTGTCTTATCTAATCTTTGGTATAGGTAGGTATATTAATAAATGGCCAACAATGAATTAACATATGCATATAAATGTTTTTTATTGATTTTTTTAAACTATAATCTATTTATATATAAAATTCTCATGTCAGTTCATCCAAAATAAGAGTGGTCCACTCCAAATTTTCTTTTTACTTCTTGGACAAAATTTTTTATTTTTATTTTTTTATGATGCGGCATTAAAAAATACATACAACCCAAACTTTTCACCCTTCTACTATCAACCCCTATTTTTTAATAGCGATAATAGTAATTCAATAAGCTTCAACCCCGTGAATAAAAATGACTTGTCCCATAAAAAATATGTACCTATGTGACAAAACAACGTTTGCAATGTCAGCTATAGTGGCTAGTGTTTTTATAAATATCTATCATCGCCAGTCATTAGTGACCTCAATATGCTGTTCATGAAGATGAGGTTTCTTTACAGTAGAATAAATTTACTATAGAAATAATTATATGTAGTGTACCTATTATTAATACGAATGTTATATCATATCTGCTTTCGTACAAAATAGCATAATTCATTCTTTAGTTCATCATATCAATAATTCTGTAATCAAAACACTTGGAAAATGTCCAATATTCGGTCAAATTTATGCTTCTGTTTTTATAGTGCTTTATAAAATCGAAAGTTCACGGTTCCATGGTGTAATGGTTAGCACTCTGGACTTTGAATCCAGCGATCCGAGTTCAAATCTCGGTGGAACCTAATTTTTTTTTATTTTTTTTTTATTTGACTCCTCAATAAATTGAATCATTTTTATAAAGTTAACATAATTTTCTTAAACGGCTATTAAATAAAAATGGTACATTATATCAATATCAGAACTTTTTATACGGCTTTATTTTATATAGTATTCTGGAATATCATTTTTTCTTGAGTTTTGCAAGCAGAATAAATTACCGATGGAAATAAGGGGAGAAAAAAAGAAAATACGAAAAACGATCTCTTTAAAAATGCAAAGTCTACATCAAATTTATACAGTGTGAAAATACAAGGAAGAGAAATGCTCGACAGCCAGCTATAGATAAAAGAAAAATTTAAATAAAACATCAATAAGAATATCGAAGTTCTCGTATGATGCGATACGGTAGAAGAAAAAATATTTTTTTGTTTGAGTTGTAATGTTCTTTTTTTGATTAAATTTGTTTGGGGTGAATGTAACAATAACAATTTATTGTCTTGAAGAAAGATCAATGCATTTAAAATTATCAATTTTAGTAACGAATAACAATAATATAATACCGTGGGATCGAAAATAACGGTGTGTAATTGTAGAAAGATTAAAATAGAATAGAAAGTCTCCAGACGCACAAATCTATTTTCAAATTTTTGTCGAATTGTAAGCTTCACCGTTTAAAAAAAATATTTTTACTCAATATAAAAACCTTCTTAAAGCCAACTGGTCATTAAAAAATAAGGAAAAGTACGGGCCAAGTAATTAACGTCTAGGGCCTGACCTCGCCAAAATTATCATCGATTATCATTCCCCAGCCGTCTTTGACCCCGTTATTATTCGATCGTATGGTATAATAGTATACATGGTGTTTCAAAAAGCATGTGCCATCTCTCATTGGGGGATTCCTCTCATTTTTTCATATTAACATAAGTCCGATACTACCATGTTTCGTACCTACAGGGGGTTAAATTCTTTATCATTTTTCGATATATTTTAATTTTCTTCCAAGTACTTTTAGCGTTGAGAATTAAATTTTGAGGGTAAAAGTTACTATAAGTGCCACATGTTTTAATGCTAAAAAAATATTGCCATATTGACCAGGGATGTGCATATGGGTTGTCAGTGGAATATTTAAAAAAAATGTGCGCCACTGACTTATTTTCTCTTGTTTGCAAAGTTGTGCAGACCGTTAAATGCTGATTAAGAATTTTGATGGATATGATGGATACTATCAAGGAAGGTCTGCTACCTTTGAGATACCCACAGAATTATGGCACAGAATTATGGATTAAAAGTTGTCTCTTGATATTTTGTAGATTTCGGTATATTTTGTCGAAACGCAAAAAACGCGAATTAATTATTAATTTGCCTTAATTAAATTCTAATAGCAACATTTAAAATAAAGTAATGTCATTAACTTGCCAAAATGCTAAATAAGTACTCCTTGATTCCCCATCACAAAATGTAAAAAAGGTTTCTATAAACATGGGTGCGAAAATGCATAGTTTTAAAGTTAGAGGATGTTAAAACTTTTACAAAATAGGCATTTTGTGTAATGATCTTAAATACCATTAATTCTTTGGGGAATTTGCTGTATATCAGTGTTATGAATTTAAATAGAATTTAGTAATAATTTATTTATTTAATATAATTTTATTTTAATTTCAATTTTATTAATTGTCATTAATAAAATTGCGCTTATCTCTTCGAAGAGATTAGAATGGACAAAATAACAAGATACAACTTTTAATCGGCATTAAATGGCCTACAAACTTTTACTAATAAGAGGAAAAAAGTCAGCGGCGCACATGTTTTTTTAGAAAAAAATATTCCATTGATAACCCATATGCACGTCTCTGGTGAATCTGTCGACATATTTTTAGCATTAAAATATGTAGCACTCATAGTAATTTTACCTTCCTAATTTCACTCGAATCGCTAAAAGCACTTGGAAGAAAATTATGATAAATGGAAAAAAATTAAGACTTTAACCTCCTGTAGCTACCAGAATCGAACCCATGTTGAAAAGAAAAATAAATTTTATTTTTACGTGAGGAATCTCCCTACGAGAGATTGCACATGTATTTTTTTGAAACGCCCTGTATAAAGTCTGTACAAAGAATGGGTAGATTGAGGCACACGACATCCAAAAGAAGGAAGAAAATTCTATATATCTTTGAATAAAATGACAGACGGAAAAAATAACAGACAACAACCTGTCACTGTCAAGTACTTTCTCGTTGGACTATAACATAGTTTATTAAAAGTTGTTATTATTCGTTAAAAAATTACATTAACATAATGTTCAAAATTATTAAAAAATATTACTCTACTTACTAAATAATCACGAATCTGCTAATCGGCAAACGATATTATGGAAATTGCCGACATCGTCGTTCCAAACTTTTGCAATTTTCGTCGATAAAATCTGTCGCCTACTATATAGTATCCATCATTCACTATCAAATAGATATCTATAATTTAGAATAGATCTTTGCTTAAATTGTGTAATACCACTTATAGTCTAAGAGCTGTCTACATAACAAACCTTATCATCGTTCCATGGCCAATTTTTTTTATGAAGTATCCTTTTGTATTGCCATTATGAAATAGTCATGTCTGTCAGCGCGATCCCGGGGCTTAAAGCGGGTGCGGCCAATTAAAAGGGTGAAATTTTGACACGAAAAATACTATAAGGTACACGAGTTATAATTACCAAATATCTTTTATTTATTAATGGGCCCCGACAGAATAGCCATAATAATTCGCAACAACGTACCCCATGGCAGAAGACCTACTGGACGACCACCTAAACGTTGGCAAGACAGTTGGCAGTCAACCTCGCAAGAGTTGCTTAGACGAGGAGGAAACCGGAACTAAACAGGCGATACGCCTTCTAAAAGAAGAAGAAGAAGAAGAATAGAAACAAGAAGTGAAAAAATACTTATTTATAATACAGGAGAAATAAGTGATATTTTAATAATGCAGGCTTATTTTTCTTAGTACATCGTCTGCTCTCGGAGGGTGGAAACAGAGACACAAAAGTTTAGAAAAAAAGAGAAATAAGAAGATAGAAAACAGAGAAACAAAAAATGATAACAAACATAGAAAGTGCAAAAAAACTAAGAAATAAAAAAGTTCGATAAAAATATTTTGTGGTGACATTGGTGAAATTGACAAAAAAATGAAAAGATTGTGGTAAAAATGTTGGTATTATTATCAGGTTTGTTGTTTATTTAAAAGCCTTCTAACGGAGTTAAATCGTCGTCCATTAATATGCAAGAAACGATCCGCCCAGCAAATAAATACCGAAACGCACGTCTATGGGAATTTTCACTGGGGCGCACGACCGGCACATATTTTACAATTCGTTTGTTTTTAGTTACGTAGGACGTCTGAGAATGTACAGGGTGTTCCACAAATGCTTTAATTAATATATTATATCTTCGTAGTTATACCCATGGACATAGCTACAGTTTGGCAGAGTGACCCAGTTGCCCCATCCTATAGCTTTTTAATTCTAAGGTCTAAATTTAGGCGTTAACATTATTAGGCATTTGCATAAAAGTGTGTATTTTGGGTGGCAGTGTTCCACTACATATAAAAAGTAAAAAAAAACATAAAATTATAAAGGTATATTTCATATCAATTAAACTTTTAGTTGCGTAATCGAGGGCGCGATTTTTAAATTCATTTTTGCCAACCATGAAGATATTCGGCGCCGCGCCGCGCCGGGGCGATGCCGTGAATAAAGTGTGCTGAGAAGTGATAGCGGCAGTATTGCCACAGTCGAGGTAGCTCTACCCAATCGAGGTAGATCTACCCCTTTGTAAAACAATTTAACCCCGCTGTCTCGTGATAATCTACCCTTATGAAAAATAAGCTTGTGGCAACACTGGGTAACAATCTGTGCCATACGCGGCTAAGAAAATCACTATAATAAACTTGATACTGTACCAACCTTGATGTGTACCAATGGTCTGGTTGTGTGCTAGGAATTAAATTTTCATGCATATTTTCATCGATGGGTTTGTAGCTTCTGAATAACGGTCTAGGTAAAGCGTTTTAGATTTTTTTCTTATATATGGGAAACGCCTTAAGGGCCGCAGTGTGGTGATCTCGGATCTCCCTCATGCGAGAGGGCCTACCCACTAAAAACCCATCTGTGCTCTAAGCTCGCCAACCTCGGTACCGCCCATGGTACCGCCTGCCGAAGGCATTTCATCGAGAAACTCATCATTCTTCTATGTTGATCTTGTCTGTACCCAAATCTTGTCTTTTTCGTCCTTCTCCTGTTTCTTCATAATGTTCCTTAACATCCCGCAAATCGCTTCGATATTTTCGCTCGATAATATCAGAAGGTTTCCGAGTAAACTAGCGATCTTCGTACCACATACTGCTATTGAGTTTTCCCGCATATCTTATCGCGTGGCGCTCAAAGAATGTTGGTTAGCCGAGTCTGCCACTTCGCAATACCAGCATGTAGGAGAGAGGAGAGTCAGCCTTAAGATAAAGCATCTAGCTCATTTTCCGGCTCAGAATTAGATTTAGAGTTAGTAACTCGCATTTTCATTGGAGTATTATTAATCCGGTAAATGATGGAGATAAACAACTGTGATTAATTAAAACTTTATTTTAATATGAAACTTTTGTTAACAACATTCTGAGAATAATGAAGTGAATAATGAGAAGACAAATGACATCTGTATAAAAAAGACAGCGATTTAGAGTGACAATTTGGTTATGTAACATTTAAAGTGACAATTTTGATTATGCAAAAGAAATACATATTAATAAATCCCCAACATGAATAATGAATAAAACATTTAAATAAAAACAGACCACAGGCTACACAACACAAATTGTTGGTTAGTAGCAGCACAGATTAGGTATCCTATAAGTATACAGATAAAAATCTTGTCCCTAATTCGTGGTACGAAAATTGTTTTTTATGACGATGTGCAAACGAGTCAAATTTCCTGTGCGCCAAAATAAACTGGCGTAAAATAACAATAAACAGCGTAATAGAGAGATATCGCTAAACCGAATAGCGTGCATGGACGTTAATAAGGCCAGGTGTTATTTCCTTTATGTGAGGTGGTATTAACTCTCTTCATTTATAGTTATCGGATCGAAAAGAATTCTGATCGCGTCGCGTCCGCTATTTAAACTTAACCTAACTTTGAATTTAAAACTTTGAAATTGTTTTGTTTACTAGGTATTTTAAAACTAAAGGGCTAAAGTTCTTATTTCCAGTGTTTTATTGTTCAACGTCTGCCAGTGGGTTTAGGGCAAAAGCAACAAATTCTCTTAGAAGGGCTAAGTCGTCATCTGCTGTAAACCTAAGACTCTTTATAGGTTCTTTAGTATTGGAAGAGGTGGAATCCATATTTTGGGCCATATTTATTTAATTAAAACTAATCCCAGCTACTTAAATATCAAATTACCTAATAAAACTAAAGCAATAATTCAAAACAATTCAAACATAACCTAAAATAAAAGATCTCGCCGGCCGGCTCCGGTTGTCAAATACTCGCACATGCCCATTTAAGCAATTTTTAAACGTTATCAGAGGTTATTTAGAAAGAGCGCTTGGTGTAATTGATCCGCAAATTACGTCAGGCGGTAACGTTATTAGCGGGTGTTGCGTTAAAAATTGACTCGCGCATATCGTAACCATGATAAGGTACGCGTAAATACTGGATGACGCTATTCGGTTTTCCGATATCTCTCTAATAACTGCGCCGGTCAGGCGCTGTGCACAATTTTAGAGGCCATAAGTGGGCGTGCTATGTGCGCAAACTAGTCACCTAACTAGTGCCCTATACCGAAAATTGGAACCACGAAAAACAATAAAGAAAAACAAAGATTATAATCTGTATAATCTGTGGTAGCAGTTAGTAGTGGTCAGAGATATAGATGTAGAGAATTATCCTTTTTTACTAAAATAAAAAAAAACCGTATAAAATTATAAAGCTAGAATAGTATACGGTTTTATATTAACTCTATTTTTCTATAAGTTTTTAAAAAGCATTCATAAAAATATATATATCCTTCAAATCCTTCAATTTAATAGCTGATTTTAAATTTTTTAATTATTATTTATTTATTAACTTAGTAAAAAGTAAATTTAAAGAAGAGACATTACAATAAAAACCATATCTACACTAACCATATAAAAATAAATACTGAAATTCGGCAACGAAATCAGCGCTATTTTTCAGGCCACTGTGTGCGTTAATAGGTTATTTATTATGTAGCGTCTGTGTGTATATGTATATCGTTAGTCGTACAAGCCGAAGATGCCGTTATACTTAAATAGTTGTAAAATCTAATACGCCGGCCACATTACCATAACAACATTATTTAGTGTGGTACTTTAGAATATCGATTCTTCAGACTGGTACCGACAACAACACGTCTGCGGCTAGAAGACAGTAGAATATATAATTTAAGCACTTTTAATGAGCCTTTTTTACTTACAAAAACAAGAATTTGCGTTTTTTAATTAAAAATTTGCGGATTTTATGTCTTACTGGGTGTTTAGTGTTTATATTTACTAGGTGGTCGTTTTTTAAGATGATTTTAATTTAGAAAGCTTTCTCTCAACATAAAGCTGATTTTTATCGCATGTTTTGTTCGATAATTCACGTTGATTGTTCTCGGTTGTAAGTTCTGAGAAATGTTTCCGAGTGTCTTAGATCGATGGAGGATTCCCATTCCAGGTTACGGATGGAGTCTTCCAGAATCTTGAGTTCCGCTTTAATTTGATTTCCATTTGGGAAGCAGAACGGTTCTGGTCCATTTAGTGGAGGTTTATTCGGTCCTTTTCTAGCTAGACTGTTTGCTTTTTCATTGCCTTCTATTCCTTGATGGACTGGCACCTAAAGTAGGATAGCACTAGGAGAGGATTTTATTATCTTTGCTTAATCTATTTAGCTCCTCTAGGCAGTTGATCGCTTTTATTGCTGCTTTACTATCGGATAACATAAATACATCGAAAAAAGCTGTAATATATCTATTTCTATTAATTTTTTTTGTAAATTTATTTAAAATGGCAGTTTTATTCTAAAACTTGATTATCCCTTCAGCTCTCTAGACGGTTTTCCGTCTTAACTTAGACTAGTGATATGTCGGTATTTGAGTAACGCGATTTTGGAGCTGTATTTTTTTGTAACGTCGTGTCGCGCTCCACAACGAATCATGAACCTGTTACTGAAGAACGACGATCATAATGACGACAATATTATAAATTATTTATAATTTGCAAAAAAATTATTTATAATCGCTCTTGAAGTTAGTTTAAACCGTAGTAACTGCATAGCGACGTGTTTAGCTCCAGCCGTCGCGATTTTGTTGGTCGCCAACAGTAGTAACTGGCACTGGTATGTACGTAGCGTTGGCGTCGCGCGTGTTCGCTCCAGCCTTGGCGCTCCTAGAGCCGTAGTTCCGCCTATCGCGAACAGAAGTAACTGGTAACTGCTGTAACTAATTATTGACGCTGGACCTCGGCGGCGACGTAACTTCGCTCCAGCCGGCGGCGGCGCGCTCTTAGAGCCGTAGTTCCGTCTGTCGCGAACAGAAGTAATTGATCCCTGTGTGTGTTGACAGTGTTGCCATATTATATGTAATATCTGTAATACATTTGACGAAAATATTTCTGGATGAAAAATCCGCATTTATCTATTGAAAATTTATTCGTGTCAAACATAGAATAAACAACAAAAATAAAAATTCTTTTACAGGTACTGAATAATTCGTATGATCAAAAAAAGTCGTTTCGTTGACTTGGATATGACATTTACCATAATACTATATGTTTGCATATAAAATAACAGTGATCTTCATTTCCAAGCAAACTCTGACGCCGTTCTTTATTTAATCATATAATATTATGTTAAATCAGTATTATTAACGTACTGTAACCAAAATCCGTAAATCTACGGATTGATCTGTAGTTCTGGCAACACTGTCTCCGGCAACCACTCACTCTGTCGACTAAAAGCAGAACTACGGTACAGTATTCTTTATCCGCTGCGCTGTAAACGACGATCAGCGCACAGCGGCGCAGATCTCGACCAGCTAAACTAAATCTCGGACAGGCTGATGGTAACGCCAGCTACATCTCAGACAGGTTTTGTGCCACGAAATCGCCCATAACGATATCAAATTTGGGATATTTGCAGAAGTGTTTGTGCATTTTTTGTCAAATGTATAAAAAGCACCTAGCATCAATTGTTCGAATTTAACCTGTACTGGCTATGTTTTATGATAACTGGCCAGAATTCATTCAAATAACTCTGTTTAGTATTAAACGACATTATGGAGCGTAGACATCTTAACAGAGACGAAATGCTAAGGGCCATGGGTATACTGAAGCTGGAATGCGCCAAATCGACGTAGCTAGAGCATTAAATACAACGCAAAGTGTAATAATATCACGATAAGTGCACGCTACCGTGAAAGTGGTGATGTTGCAGCAAAGGCACACAGGGCGACGTCGCATTACTACCCCCAGCAAGATCATTTTTACAATTAAATGCTCGACGCCGACCGACTCTTACAGCAGGAGAGCTTATTTTAATTCTCCAGAAACACATATTAGTCCTGACACTGTTCGCAATAGATTAAGAGAGGGCAACTTAAAAAGCAGACGCCCCTGGAGAGCTCAACCCTTAACGAGAGGAAATCGAGAGGTACGATATTTGTGGGCTCAAGATTATGTTCAGTGGTCGAATGAACAATGGGCCAATGTTCTCTTCACGGATGCTTAAGGCTTAGGGTATGGAGAGAACCGGGAAATTTTATTCGGTTGGATCATGTTCAGGAAGTGCACCCTTATCAAAGTGGAACAGTTATGGTCTGGGGAGGAGTCCAGTTAGGCCGAAAAACCGATCTCGTTTTTCTTGAGAGGTTTCTAACAGGAATCACATATCGTGATTTAATTCTTGAGCCTGTCGTGTTACTATATGCCAATGATTTTGGGAGAAACTTCATTCTCATGCATGACAATGCACGGCCTCATACAGCCAGAGTGGTAAGTGAGTTTATCAATGCTAATCAATTAAACATCTTTTCCTGGCCGGCACAATCTCCTGACCTCAATCCCATCGAGCACGTATGGGACGCGGTCCAAAGAAGAATTTTGAGAATGGGTATGCCTCGTGAAACTCGTAGGGATCTGGTTCGGGCCGTGAATGCAGTGTGGCAGGCTGTACCTCAAGAAGAGATTGACAACCTGATCAGGAGCATGGAGAGACGATGTAGGGCTGTAATGAAGAGTAGAAGAGGCCATACCCTTTATTAAGTAAAAATGGTTTTATCTTTAATTCACAGTTTAGAATAAAAAAAATGTGTGTATTTTTTTGAGTTCAATAAAAATCAAGGCAAATTTGAAAAATTCGGTAAATTTCGCATTTTTATTTCCAATACGTCCTGTAAACTATTTGTTTATTTTAATTTTATTATATTAGAAATGCAAATATTATATTACTGACGATGGCTGGATAAAATTGTAATATCCCTAGACTTTTCCGGTGTGTATATATAGTTTTGAAATCTTTTACCTCTGTAATCGTTGATGGCGACAACTAAAGTTAATGTTGATCCTAATGGTACAATGCCACTCACAGGGGGTGCCCATGGACCTTTCCCATGTTGGATCTCCATCCAGCAGTCTACATTATCACCTGAAATAGAAAAAAAAACATTAGATATTATCGTACAGAACCCGCACAGTTATCGAACAGAATAATCCCGCGAAGAAAAATTTACATTATCTTCTACAGCGTAATTTATATGGTGTAGCCAATATCACAACATTCAAAATGCAATATCTCATTTTTTTTAAATGCCACACCCTGTATATTATTTAGAGTTATTAAGTGAACATTTTTTGTATTTAAAGTGACTAATATGATTTTTGTCTAGAATTTTACCGTTAAAAACCCAATATTTATGTAATATACTCAAGCGAATATCTGCAAAACCGCTAAAATTTTAAGAACACTTTGAATACAAAAAAATGTTCTTTTTTTATTCTATTACTACAGTTTTCAATCACTTTTTGGATATAGTGTTGTCAACCAAAGTTTTAGTAAAATAAGAAATAAAATGGCAAAATTGCATAGCGCTTCAAATAAAAATAGTGTACTACATGCAAAATTTTATGCTGAATAGAATTATCTACAGAAAATGAGGGAGTTCAATTAAAAAACTTAATAACTTTTTTGTAACACCCTGTATACAACAAAATATTGTCAGTATATGTCTATATACTACTAAAATATTTTTTATAAACTATGCAACATCTGTATAAAACTTTTTTTCATATCTTCGACAACAAAGACGATATTGGACTTACCTCGCACTAATGGGCCATTCCTGTATACAGGGTTGTTCACCACATACGACACAGGAGTATTGCAGCTAAACGATTAGATTTTTACAAATTGTAAGTTTTGGGTTCGCTGAAGGACTATTAGAGCCACAATTTAAAAATATTTTTACAAGATACATAGTGTCCCAAATAAATAAAAAATATCAAAGTTGTATTTTTTTAAATGGAACACCCTGTATATTATTGCATTTTTAGTTTCTACTATGAAAATAAAGGTAAATTTTATTAAGGTTTATTACACTTAAACCTTACCGTTTTTGAAATATTTTCAATTTTGTGAAATTGCAGTATAAATTTTAAGGCTGCATTTCTCCGAGGGTATCAAAGTTTTTAATACTAAATATTTACTGAAGTTTATTTATTGATCAGTTATTGTGTTGCAATAATAAACATTATACTACCTTATACAGAGTGTTTAAAAATTTATTTTAAATAATTACTAGCTTTAAATGGCAATAACTTGTTTAATTTAAATGGAACACCCTGTATATTTCATGAGAGTCAGATGCACAATTTAATTGTCTATCAAATTGTATTATATCACTTTTTACCTATCCCTTCAAGTTTTCGTAGAAAATGCATTTTCTCATAATTTAGACCTTATTTATCAATATACCCATGGAATATTGACATTTTATATTGTTTTTAAATCAACAAATGTACAAAATGTTCAGGCTAGTAATATTATCGTTTTTAGAAAAACGATAATATTACTAGCTCATTTGTATGCAAAAAGAAAACTATTTATATCTTTATAAAAGAGTATACCATTAATAAAATATACCACCAGTATTTCCGCCCAAATACTAATTAATTACATACTTAATTGTGTTCATTAATAAATTGTTCTAAATAAATATGGATTTGAATCATCAGCATTTTATTGTAGCATACCTTTTACATGCTCTGTTCCAAATTGTCACGAGAATTATAGAGGGGGTCCCAAGGTTTCTGCTTTTTTATTCCCCAAAAATGACGAGCTTCGTAAAAAATGGTTGACAGCTATTAAAAGAGATGATTTCACTCCTACTAGTAGTTCTCGGGTAAGAAGTACGTTAAATATGCCTCCAAAAGGCCAAAGGCCAAAGGCCAAAGCCTCTGTTACCCTAGTGAGGATGTAGTTATGGCTACTGCTTACACTTACCTCACAAGATATTGACAACATTCACATTTGAAAATATAAATGGCCTGGATGTAAGTCTTTTTTCAGGTCACAATAGACCCTCACATACGTCAGAATGTATTATTAAATCCATCTTGTTCAGAATATCCAATATTTTTTTTATAAAAAGGTCGAGGGGTAAACCGCAGAGGAATTATGGTGTACACTATGAAGGAATTCTACAGGAATTACTAGGAATTCCAATTATTTCCGTAAGAATTCCAAGGAATTCCTTAGAAATTTAGAGGAATTCCACAGGAATTAAGAGGAATTACAAGCAACTTTATAAAAAATTAACGAACATTAGTAAACCATGAATACTATAATAAGTAGTACTAAATTTATAGAAAAACATTTTGCAGGCGATTTTTTACTATCCGTTTTTCGTTTTCGCTTCCAAAATTTCCCAATATCAAATATCTACAGGTCAGATATTCTTTTAATTTAATATATTACCCTCGATTATATATCTAAAATATTTTCCAATAGTACGGCCGAACCATCCCCGAGAGATCTACTTATAACGTTCCCTCATTTCGCCATTTTAAAGAAACCCTTATAAGATTTTTTTATTCAGTACTCAGAAAGTGTAAAGTTGATTTTTTCATTTCCTCGGAATAATACCTAGGTATATACTATAGGGAAATTAATACAACTTTAGGTGCACTTCATCAATGATACCATGCGTAATCTTATGGAATTTACAGGTGATCGTATTATGACGTGCAACTGAAGTTTTATTGATTTCCTTTCCTATATAGATACGAGTATAACTAGGTACCTATCATTTTCAAAAAATCCCGAGAAAAATTAATTTTAATAAGTAAGTGCCGACATATTTCCAGTATTTTCACCTCATGATCCCCTATTGGTCCTAAAATTTAACTAAAAAAAAACGTAAATCTCGTAATAGTACTTTTTATTGTTAGATCTAGTACTTATAGAGACATTAGACATTTATAAAAATCACCTGAAAATTCATAGCGGAACTGCGAAACCGAGGTGGCAAACGCTGGTTCACTGACAGAGTTACCGAGTTCGTACCAAAGGAATTCCAAGGAAGACCTTGAATGATTGACCTTGACCTTGAAGACCAGGAATTCCAAGGAATTCCGAAGGAATTACGAGGAATTCTGAGGAATTATTTGAGTAAAAGGAATTACGGTGTACACTTTTCCCTCTGCGGTTTACCCCTCGAAAAAGGTATTTAGTTTTTTTTCTATATAAAATCTTGAAACATATTATATTTTTTAGTTATCCTCACCTATTATAGTTTAAATTTATTCCCATTTGTGTAATGCTGCAAAACATAGGAAAAATATTCCATATTTTTTAACCCAAGCCAGTGTAGTTTACACCAAGAGTATTTACCAAGGCTTTTACTAAGACAAGTAACTTCCTATATTGTCCATAATAGTATATATATTTATCAAACGTGCAGTAAATTCTAAACTATGGTAGGTAAGTGTTTGCAATTGAATATTTAGTTTATATTGCTATTTTCTGTCATATATTTCTGGTTATTTCTTTTTCCGATGATTTTGAACACCCCTATATATGCTACCTCAAGTTTGAATATTTACACACTAGTACACTACCTACTTATTTTCTGAGAAATCAGAGCTTTTTATAAAAAGTAACTAACTGATGTTTTCATAAAAGTAATAATACAAAAAATTCCATACTTATATGGAGAGCTTTAGACTCCCTGTATATTAAAAAATTAGTGAAATACTACGTAATCTAACCAATCTAACCCGACATTTGTGTGAAAAATGTCTATTTGGAAATAAAACAGGTTTTAAAATACGCGACAAATAAAGCACTTCTATCTCCGCCATATTGGAAAAGGTTGAATTGCCTTGTGTGGAGGTGGTGGCGGGTCAGCAGTCAGCATGGTGGCCCGGCCGTGTTGCCGCTTTTCAGCATGCCAGGTGTGACGTATTAAAAATAAAGTGGGGATTTTTATTCTGAGCTTTTTTGTTTTTATTTATTTTCATAAGAACGACTTCAAATTTTTCGAAAGTGAGATAGCAGAAAATTCTAGAATTAATCGCTTTATTCCATTATGCTAATTCCAAAATATAGTGAAACAGCCCATTGGCAAATGAGTACGACATCGACAGGAGACGTGATATCCCCAAACCTGTTTACAGCAATACTAAAAGAAATCTTCCGTCAACTGGACTGGACCAACAAAGAATTAAAAATAGATGGAGAATATCTTAACCATCTAAGATTATCCTGTAGTCCTGAGAAACTGCAAGCACAAATTATCGAGCTAAATACAGCCAGCAATAATACAGCCACCACTTTACCACTTTCAGAGTTTCCATTTGAATTCTAGACAGTAGTATTTTACAAAAAATAACTTCTTTACTTTTGTAGATTTCCCTTTCAGTGGCGAAATGCACAGGCTTATTTCAAGCAAAATTGATCTAATATAAAACGTGCGTTGTACAAACAGCCGATTGATTGCTCTAAATATTGACGAAATAAATCATTCTAATAAAGAGCTGTAAGTAATCCGATGATGTGAATCGATCAAAAGATTATTACCTCTGAAATCCAGTTGAATGACATCAAGGTCAGCGATGACCATGGGTGGCTTGGACGCGGTTTTTTCATAATCGTTGAACCACTCGCAGCGGAGTCTTTTGGCCTCGTCCCACACCTGAAACATTACGTAAAAAACAATAGTTGATAAAAAAAATAATAAAGATGTAGATAGATATCGGAACAGAAAAAAACTAGTATTATAAAATATTAATATTATTCTAAGCAGAATTTAAAATATACAGAGTGGTCCAATATCTTGTTGCTAAATTTTACCAGTCAAAAGATTTTTTTTGGTTATTAACTTAACTTTTACATTTATTTTATACAAAGTAATCAATCGGAAGTTTGACCTAGAGATGGGTAATGATTGGACCAATCATTCACTTGAATGAATATTAAAAAATAATAGTAAGATTCGAATCATCGCTGAGAATAAAGTTCGTTTAAATGCATCCTGAAGAGTTCTATTCGGCATTGCGAAGTAGAAATGAAAAGTGATGTGAATTGAGCAACCGTAGATTTTAAAAAGTATTGAAAGAAATTGTGAGAATCATTTTATAGCTTAAGGCTGGTTGACATAATCCAGGTGTACTTGGATCATGTCATCCCACCTTAAGTAAGCTGGCTTCCAATTTACTTGGATGCTACGAAGCTTTCCAATGCGACTTTGATAAAACAGTTGATAACATATACAAGTGAGACGCGCTCACATCTATACCAGGTGCGTCTCAAAAGTGGCTCACCCCTATAACTTTTTTATTTTTTCAGATAAAAAAACGAGTTTTGGTATGTTAGTATATGATATAAATTAGGATTGATTGACGTATTTAATTGTTTTTGGTCACTTCCTGTTTCACCGGAGATAATTACAACTTTTGATTTTTAAATTTTTTTAACTTTATTCGATAGAAAATGACACTCTGAATAGAATGATATATCATATGTCAACTTATGACATTTTCGCATATGGTTTATTTGAAATTGTGACATGCGGTTCATAACGACAATTTGACTCGATATACCAAGTGTGTGTAGTGATGTTAATATTTCAGAAATTTTTGATTGTTGCAGGAAATTTCCGAAACTTTCGGAAATTTATGAAATTTTAGGAAATTTTATAATTTTACATATTTTTTTGTTGATACAATAAAGGAATGAATTAGATAGACATTTGATACCAACATGTAAGTAGAAAAAAAAAACAATAAACATAATATTTGTAGTTATATTTTTAATAAACAATATATAACTCATAAAAGTCATAAACATAACACATAACAAAAATCATTTGGTAAAATTTGTACTTTGTACATAAACCATGAACTATGACTATGAACTTAAAAAAAACAAAAAAGCACGAAATATAAATTTAAAACACGTAAAACACAAATAACTGAATTATTCTATTCCGGAATACTTTCAGGCGCCGAGCTGGTCCCATCTTCATAGAATATTATAGTAGTAGTAGTACTGTCTTCGTCAGTTTCTATTTCCAAATCAGATATATTTGATGTATCATCTGGTTCTGATTCTGAAGGATGGACCTCTACCTCTACGGGTTCTAGTGGTTCTGGAGGAGTTTCATGTTGTTGAATATCATGCTCTATATCCACTTTTTGTTTTTGTAGTAATAATTTATTGTTACGAGCTACGAACATTATTTTACCGGCTCTTTGTGCTGTTAAGCGATTCCCTTTTTTAGTATGGATAAAACTGTAAGTACTGAAACTTCTCTCAGTGGCTGCAGATGACGTTGGTAAAGACAGCAGAGCAACAGCTAATTATTTCAACTGAGTATTTTTACACATTGCTTGCCACCAACCTAGACAGTCTACATTTTTAACTGACATCCAAACGTAGTCGAGAGCCCGTTAACCCAATTTGGCGCAATAATTTGTTACATCTGTAAAAATGGATTTTTTATTATTGACAAACTGAGGATGTTTGTTGGTGATATTGTTGATACATTCCATAGCAGCTATGTGTTCTTCATTGTTAAGGTACTCTCCCAGGAAACAGAGGTCCAAGAGATTCGCGGCAAAATGCATTGCTTTAAGACCCATACGTTTTCTATTTTGTAAGGCAGAGAAGCATTCTTTTTCTTCTGATTTAAGAATAGGCATACTTGATACACTTTCGTTAAATTTTTGCTCAATGTCTCGAATTTTGAAAAGAAATGTCTTGCAAAATTCGGATTTTTGCGAATATTCGCGATTTTGGGACCGAATATTTCGGAAATTTCTGAAATTTCCTGCAAAATTCGAATGGAAATATTCGCTACCAACGTCACTAAGTATGTAGTACCAAATTATTCGTAAAAAATGCTTATTCCAAATCTGCTAATAAACCACACTTGTTCCATTTGAAAAAATTGAGATATAATTGAAATTGAAAAAAAAATGGGCGATTTGGGCGTCTTTTAACCGGCCAGGACAAGACACGAAAAACATTAGACGATCAAATCTATTTTTCCAAGGATCCTTGATTATAAATTAGTGTTTTTAACATAGCCATGGCACTCTAGATTGAAATTTAAAATACAATTTTTTTAAGCGAAAGTCTCAAAAGTTGACATATGATATGCCATTCTATTTAGAGTGTCATTTTCAATCGAACAAAGTAGATATATACCAAGTACTGAAACTTCTCTGAGATAAAAATCAAAAGTTGTAGTCATCTCCGGTGAAACACGAAGTGACTAAAAACAATTAAATACGCCAATCAATCCTAATGTATGTCATATACTAACATACCAAATCTCGATTTTTTTTGTACGATAAAAAAAAGTTGAGCCACTTTTGAGACGCCCCCAGTATATTAATATGTAAGGAACGGGGTTGACTTGATCCAAGTACACTTTGACGTCAAACAGGCTTTACTTTTGATGTTAAAAAGCCTTCCAACTCGACTTGAATGAAACAGTCAATACTATACAAGCACTACAAGTGAGAAGCGCACAGTAGTATTTTAAGTACAGGGTGTCCCATTTTGGTTGAAATCATACAGTATCTCCGTTATTAGGAAAGATAGGAGGATGCGGTTTGCACAAACCTGTGCCACTTTTTTGTCAAACGGAAGATGCTGTCAACAAAATTTTTTTAGCTCTCTTCGTTTCTGAGCTACAGGGTCTTTTTGAAAATTTTGCAATTTGGGACACCCCCTGTATCTCTGTTATTGTTAAAGGTATCGAGAAGGTGAAAACTGTTTATTGTAGAACTTTTTATGTAGTCTATTACTTTTTACGTAGTCTATTTTTCTACGATAAAAATATTTTTGAAAATATGAACTAAACTTATGTTTTTTCAAATGGAACGCCCTGTATATTTATAAATCGTATGATCTGCCTTGCTATGAGCTTTTCAAAAATATATATCACTTTATATTTATTTTCACTATTTACGGCAATTTTTAAAATATATAATTTTCTTATTAGTAGGCCGTGATAAATAACAAAAAATCAAAATGGTACTTACTAAAATAGTCATACACTTATTAAAATTTTGTTTGGAATTGATATATTTTATTTTTGAACACCACTGAATCTCTGAATATATATTTTTTTTAACGGAATTTATTATAACGAGATGGGTTTGCAAATATCTAAAAGCTTCACACACGTTATTAGTTTGCATTATTAAAGCATTTTCCAGATGTTCGACATTGTATTAGTTGCCACGATATATTTCAAATTTCAAAAATCCCCCAAAATCAGAAATCGAGAAAGGACAAATCCAGGACTCATCAATGGGTCCATTGATTCGAATTATTCATTGATTTGAGAAATAATAATTTAACAAAATTTTAATATTTTTGTTGTAAGTTAAGTTGTGAGTGGGAATTCCGTCTTGGGGGCTGAAAGTATATTTCAAGTAAACTAGCTAAAGGAATATTTAAAGTTCCAATAGGATAGCTTCCAAGATTTACAAATAGCTGTAGAAAGTTAAGTTTCCCTAATATATAAAGAATTTATTAGTGGCTCTCAAAATAAAACAAGAGACAGATAGCAGTATACTTTTAATAATTCTTTAGTTTCTTTTATTATCAATCATGGCCTACTAATAAATATGATTTTTAATATATTTTTTAAATATTGCAGTAAATATTGAAAATAAATATAGAGTGATATATATTTTTGAAAAGCTTATGGCAAGCCAGATCATATAATTTATGATCTGGGTACATATACAGGGTGTTCTATTTAAGAAAACATAACTTTAATTCATATCTCTAAAAATATTCTTTTCGTAGAATAACAGACTACGCCACTGTATTCTACGTAAAAAGTTCTACAGTAAACAGTTTTCACCTTCTCGATACCTTTAACAATAACAGAGATACAGGGGTTGTCCCAAATTGCAAAATTTTCAAAAAGACCCTGTAGCTGAGAAACGAAGAGAGCTATGAAAATTTTGTTTACGGCATCTTTTGTTTGACAAAAAAGTGGCACAGGTTTGTGCAAACCGCACCTTTCTATCTTCACGAATAACGGAGATACTGTATGATTTCAACCAAAATCGGACACCCTGTACAGTTATAATGGCAGCATCCATGTAGTAAGTGTACCTAGTCCAAGTATTGTGATGTACTTGCTCCAAGTTGTTGACTGTGTAATCCCGCCTTTGAAATTTCCTTCAAATGAATCGTAGAGCGTAGGCAATATATTTGAATCGCAACTTGTATTGTAACTTGTAAATAATTATCTAACTGCCAAAGCAGCACGAAGTACCGTGTGATCGAATAAAACGGCGTCCAGTTGGCTGGGAAATGACGATCGATGACATGTTCCATATAAATTTACATATAAAATGACAGCGATTTTTATTTCATAGCCATCGCTGACGCCGTTTTTTTTCGATCATACGGTATTTTGTTTTGAAATAATGAGTATTGAGTACTAATGGTTAGGGTACCAGCTAAGTTTGTAGTACCTATGTTAATAAATATAAGTCAGTAATGATTGTATTAGTATTATTTATTAATGTTTTATGGTTTATTATACTAATTTTATATTGCAGTAATGAAATCAATTATTAAGAGCATACATAAAATTTAAAAAAAAATAAAATATGCATACAAAAACTGTTTAACTCCTGTGAAGAACTATCTGCTAGGATCAATGATTGGAATTGATAATCTAATATTATGTAAAGCTGCCCATACATTATCAAACAAATTGCGCAACGCAGGCTGTTGCGCAACGAGTTGCCAATGTATGGTAGTGTTCGATGCGTTGCGCAATTGTTTGATGAGTTTCAAGAATGTTTGAATTCTTTTGTGCAACAGGACTGTTTGCGCAACGCGTTGTGTAGTGTATGTGTGTGTTGCGCTTCGTTGTGCAATATTTTAGTTCTTTCATCCAAATTCTTTGTTTTCTTTTTCGTTTTTTGGTATCATCGACATCATCTAAGGTGTAGACGATAATAATTGACGCAATGGCAATTGAGAACATGATTGTTTCTCAAACAATGCACAACTTTTAATAAAAAATTTGATCAAAATCTTACCAAGTGCATGGGTGATGCAGTTGTGCAACGGAACGTTGCGCATCGCTTTATTGCGCAACTTGTTTGATAGTGTATGGACCGCTGAATCAGTTGTGCAACGCAGCGTTGCGCATCGCTTTGTTGCGCAATTTGTTTGATAATGTATGGACCGCTTAAGTAATAATATGTAAAGTGATATATTATGTAAATAATAACCAAAAATAAATAATTTATTCACCTCTAGAAGATCTTTGTCGTACTGTACCACCACGGTATTCTCATAGAATTGGCCATGTAGATCTGGCTTGGTACCACATCTCGAGTACGCTATTTTAAAAGAGAAAAATGTCTGTCCTGTAGCTGGCGGTACGTAAACACATCTGAAAATAACAAAAAAAAACTAATTTTAGTATATAGGTTATAAATTTTAGTTAATTTTAAAAAAAGAATTATAAAAGAACGTATTTTTATACAGGGTGGCGCACCTCATTCGCCTTGGTTGATTATACGAAAACGGAAAGATGTATAAACAAAATATATTATGGGTATATGTAGAAAGGCAATGTGCATAATTTAAAGTTTTTAAACAAATGTCGACTTTGAAAATAGCTATCACTAGCAATTTGCCATGGCGACACCAGCCATCTTGATTGCCATTTTATTGAAAAATCACTTTTTATTCAAAATCTGAGCCAGATAGGTATAGGAAACCCTAATATAACTTGAAAGAACATTTAAATGTACCTCGACTTATTTTAAAAAATACATAGTGTTATATTTGAAATAACGAAATTTTTATGTAAAATAAATTATTATTAATAAAATAAATTTAAAATAGACCAGCAATTTTTGATATCCCTGTATATGTTTAAGGAAGCAATAACATTTTTTACTAAAGTTTATTTCTCTGGCTTCAAAGTCAGAACAAAAATTAACTCTGAAAAGTAATGTACAGGGTGTTGACAAACTTTTTTTTTATTATAGCATGCCTATTTAAATATCTCAAAAACTAAAGCATTTAAACATATTAAACTCTTATACTAAATGCCTTATTTTATGCTCAAGAATCCAAAAATGAAATAAAATGCCGGGTGTTCCACAAGAAAAAATATAACTTTGGTATGGATCTTAGGTCAGACATACCCTGTACATTTGAAAATATTTTTAAATTATGCACATTGCACACTAGATATACCCATAAAAAATTGTATTTCTACATCTTTCCGTTTTCGTTTAATCAACCGAGGTGAATGTGGTGCGCCACCCTGTGTAAATACATATAATAGAAAATCTCTTACACTGGTAATTAATTATATTTGGACCTTAGTATACTAAATTGCATAACTGTGGAGGAAAATCAAGAAGACTGTTGCTGTGCTTAGCTTATAAGAAATGTGTGATTTCTCGTTAATCTCTAACTTCCAAAAATTCACTACTAGTCACTCAGTCACTATTCCACGCAAATGAAGTGCGCCATTTATAAAAGGATGTATTGCCAGCGTTTCCAGATATATAAAACAACTATTTAAAATTATTTATTATGGACTTTCCCTTGAGTTTCTTTATTTTTTAAAAAATATCGAAATATGACGATAATTAGGATAGTGACGGTAATTGGGCTTTTAACATAGAGGGTGCATCTCAAAAGAGGATACCCCTATAACTTTTTTATTTTTTCAGATAAAAGAACGAGATTTGGTATGTTAGTATACGACATAATTTAGGATTGATTGACGTATTCAAATGTTTTTGATCACTTCCTGTTTCGCTAGAAACAATGAACTGAATACTACGTAACTGGAACGGACCCGAGCGTTGCCGAAAATCGGTTTTTGTGTGTCAGGGGCAATGACAAAGACAGAGTTATTAAGACGGTAACCTATCTCACTCCTATCCATTGTGATACATTTGGTCAGTGTACATCTGGGATAATAATTTACCTTTTTATTAGTTTTAAAACGGCTTTTTATCGATTTCTGGTGGAAGCAAGATTCATTTTAACGAAAGTGTTACGTATTGGCTGTTTTTTGTGTGTTCCGTCGCGTGTAGTATTTTAAAAGTGTGTGAAAAACTTAAACTTGAATGGTAGGTGATGATAAGGTGTTTTTACACAGACAAGACGACAAAAGACAATAAACAATAATGGTGATTTCGTGTGTTGCTTATGGTTGCAATAATGAGCAGGATAGGCGAAAAATTCCGTTTCATACGTAAGTTAAAAATATAGGAATATAATATTTTGTATTATTGTTTATTTTTAACCGTCATATAAGCTTTTTGGAGCATTTATAACGTCTTTGGAGCATTTATAACGTAGTATTATTTTTTGCAGTTTTCCTTTTAAACGACCTGAAATATTCAAGCTTTGGATTCAGGCTCTTCGTAGAGATAAGTGGACACCATCTAAAACTAGCCGGCTATGTGGGGAATATTTTCTTCCAACAGACTACATTAATCAGCCAGGACTGGCTGTTAAAAGATTAAAGCCTGATGCTGTACCAAGTGTGTTTTCTTTTCCAAAACACTTGTTACCAAAAGCCTATGCTCCTCGTAGAAAAATAATAAAACAGGTTGGTAAATGATATAATGTTATTCTGTGGTGATTGATTATAACATAATTTTCAGATTTCTACTACCAGCGTTCACACTGAAAGTGAATTAATGGATATTGATTTACCTTTAGCTTCAACATCAACTACTCCAGCCAATAGAAGTGAAAAGTTTGGGAAAATATTATTGGATAAAGAAAAACAGTTCCAGTTAATATTGAACAACTACGTAGAAAAGTAAAAACACTTAAACAAAAAGTTTAGACTCGGCTGAGTCTAAATATTACTGGTTTTTAGTTTTTTAAAAAGTTATTACTTATTACAAAATAAGCTTTGATACCTTTTTTGTCGTTACTTTTTTTTCTCATGTTTAAAACCCGACGCTCTAAAATTTATCGTCTGCATCGGTAAAATACTCAAGTTTTGCTAAAATTGTTTGGTTTGGTTTGGTTATTTTCCTATATTTTATCTATAAAAGAGGTGGGTTGCTCAAATTATCAAAAGAAAATCGCAAATATTTATAAAAACCTTAAATATTTTCTTTAAATCCCATTTAGGTTAATAAGATAGAAAGAGATAGGTACCCGTCACAACGACGGGTTGCCTATTTTGCGCTTTGCGTCACTTTTATCGATTGGCGGGTCCTTTCCAGTTAGGTAGTATACAGTTCATTGGCTAGAAATGACTACAACTTATTATTTTTAAATGGCACCCTCGGTATTTTTTTACTTCATTCATAGAAAATGACACTCTGAATAGAATGACATAGCATATGTCAACTTTTGACATTTTCGCATATGGTTTATTTGAAATTGTAACATGCGGATCATAACGACAATTTGACTCGAAATACCAAGTGTGTGGTATCAAATTATTCGTAAAAAAATTATTTTTCCAAATATGCTAAGAGAGCCACCCTCGTTCTATTTGAAAAAACTGAGATATGATTATAAATACGATTTGGGTATCTTTTAACCGGCCAGGACAGGACAAGAAGAACATTAAACGATCAAATATATTTTTTCAAGGCTCCTTGATTAAAAATTAGTGTATTTACCATAACCATGGCACTCTAGATTTAAATTTAAAATGCGATTTTTTATTAAGCGAGGATGTCAAAAATTGACATATGATGTCATTCTACTCAGAATGTCATTTTCGATCGAAAAAAGTAAAAAAATACCGTGGGTGCTATTTAAAAATCAAAAGTTAGTATTAGTAGTTATTTCCGGTGAAACAGGAAGTAACCAAAAACAATTGAATATGTCAGTCAATCCGAATTTATGTCGTATACATAGATTTAGTAAGAACAGATATCACATTGTGCATTTTAACCCGATCAAACAATGGGAGGTTGACTACGTACTGTAAAAACCAACTGAGATAGAGAAGGCGACATTGCCACATCTCAAATTTGCGCCTATCTACTTAATTTGATTTGCAGAAAAGGTGACTTTAAAACCTTCACCGGATATCAATAAATCTCAATTTCTTAATTAAATTAATATTTTATTTTTAAAGAAGCATGCGTAATAATATGTTATTAACCAGAGGATATATGCGTTACTATTAAAGGACATGTTTACTGTTTAATCTGCTGAAACGTCTAGAACTATTGGCAACGTCGCTGCTAGCCTTCCAGAATGAAATGAGCCGTCCGTCCCACCATCCCTCGCGACGGCCCTTGGTCTGTTATAGCGTACTACGTTTAGCTTACTGTGTGTTTGAAGTCGGAATCAAGTCCGAAGTGAACTTTTCAGTGTTTTTCAGTAGTTTTTGTTTTTGTTTAACGTACTTTTGAATCTGCGAATTTTCAATATGCTACGACGAGTGTCAAATGTGTGGAAAAATAAGCTCAAATTACCCGAATTTGTCTTTTCACAGGTAGGTATTGTTTCCGCCGTAATCGCCGTACATAGGCGTCCCACAAGGGAGCCTCTCACAATTAAAATAATTTCTAATTATATTTGTTGAATTTTGATCTATTAAAACAAGAACGTAGTAGCCGGTAATTGAATTATAATTCGTCTCAATTACTAACAATTGTAGATCATAACAAACTTGAATATAAACGTTGCATTTGAAACTTTATTATAAGCCAGAAAGTGGCATTTTTTTTTTAAATTGCGTCATATTTTGGTCATTATATACGATATTCGAAAGGAATTTTGCTCAACAAATAAACAAGGGTGTTTACCCGACCTTTTTTACATTTTATTGCTTTATTATATCTTATATCTGCCCCTTCGGTCTTGTTTAGACAATTTTTTACCACCGTACAATACAAATACCTCTTCCTAGAGTTATTTGTACGGTGTGTTTACCTTTTTTTAGAATGGGACGAACTGTAAATAATTCTTAGGTTACTAGTTTTATACATACCTATATACAGAGTGACCCAGGCCTCCCAAAAAGCTTTTTACCTATTACGTTTTTGGTTTGTGATTTTTATTTCAATTTTTTACATACGATCGGGGCCATTGTAACGCACATTTTCAAAATATTTTTGTCAACATACAGGGTAATTCAAACCGCACAATACATATGCTTAATACAGTTCATGAAGATTGGGACATTTAACTAAAATTTGATTGTATGATGTAGCTACCTAAGTAATGGATTTGTAAATAAACGTAATATTCATTATTATGCGACAGAAATCCCATACAGTAGCACACAGATTTGATACTTTTAATGATAAATGCCTTCTATTGCGAGACTAAAAGGTAATTGCCTCGTATCAGAGCCATCATAATACGAGAAGAAGACCGAAAGTCAAATCTTGTTTTATATTTTCAAAAAAACACAATTTTCTCATTAAACTTAATATT